CACACGCCGTCCATCCTGCACAGCTGTTGCCCCTCCCTCCCTCCTTTGCCACGCCTCCCTCCTTACCTCCCGCGAGCAGCTCCCCGTCGCTCTCTCTCGCTCTCTCTCCCTCTCTCTCTCGCTCTCTCTCCCTCTCTCCCTCCCCCTCCCTCTCCCTCCCCTTCCCTTCCTTTCGTCTTTACCGTCCAGCAGCGGCGGCAGCAGCAGCACGAAGAAATAATGAAGCCATCTCGAAATAATAAGATATCGAGTTTCAGTGGCAGATTTCTTTTCCCTCTTTTTTTCCCCTACCCCCTCTACCAGCGCCCTGCTCCCTTCTTTCCTGCTTTTTCAATTATCCACTCGTTTCGTTGTGTTTCAGCCCGCGTCGCGCGGTACAACCCACTTCCCCTTCCCCTGCCCCCCCCCCTCCCTCATGCCACCACCTTCCCGCTCTCCTTCTCTACCCCGGGGCGCGGGCGGGGCGCACCGTGCAGGGGAGCAGCCCGGGCGGTGAAGACATAATAGCGGATTGCATGTGCCTTAGGAGGACTTACTTAATTATTGCAAAGCGAATACTTATTGGATGCGATTAACTATCGGTAATTCCCAAGTAACAATAGAGATGTGAGGGTGTGCCTGTGTGCAAACTTACCACCATGCTCTTTAAGGGCCGAAACAAATTTCCATTTTTTTAGTGTCAATGTGAAAGCGAATTTGCGATTTAGTACATTTATTTAAGTGAATGTAATATATTTTTTTGGTTGTGTGGTGAACCAAAATCACACCCCTAACTTTTTATTTCAGTTAAATTATTACTCCAATTGTTTGCTAACGGATCCAATCAGTCTTTAACTTGCTTTGGTTAGAAGAAATCTCGATTTCGCCAACATAATTTACATTTTGAAAAAAGAAACATGCTCAATCTTCTTTTCCCCTTTCCTTTTTCTTTGCAGCACCCTGCTGAGCACTGAGTGGTGGCTGTCGCTACTTTGTTGGCTTGCTCGCAGGCCCCAAACCGTCCCATTCGACTCCTCAATAAAATAGCGGGTGAACTGCCGCAGGGCAAAGGGGCTCACTGACCGGTCGGGGGGAAAAGAGCCGCTGCTTTTATTATTCTGTGTTTTTTCTCCCTTTTCCTTTTTTTTTTTTTTGTAGACAACGTACAGGGCGTTAAAATAACTAAAAGATTGTGGGGGGACAGCGAAGAGGGGAAAAAATGTCAAAGGCCGGGGATAAGACGCGACCGATACAAAGCAGGCGGACGACGCAGGGGGTGAATATATGCCGCGGAAGATGAAGCTAGCAGGGTCTTTGAGGACGACAAGGAGGATGATCTGGGTGACGTTGGAGATGGAGCAGACGACAAAAGAGGACGAGGGTGACGCGAATGAGGATGAGGTCGAGAAAGATGTAGTAGTACTAAGACAAAAGCGAATAAGGATGATTGAGGACGCGAGGATCAGGACCACGCAGTATGTAGTGCCGGCACGAAAGAAATAACATAAAGAAGGACGAAGAAAGCGGGGAAAGTCGAGGAAAAGGACGACGGTGGTGGCATCGTGGACGTCGAGGAGGAGGAGGAGGAGGAGGAGGAGGAGGAGGATGAAGGGGGTAGGACGAGGAGGAGGACGGGGCAGGACGAGGAGGAGGGCGGGGAAGGGCGGCCGGAGGAAAGGAGTCTGTTTCCTGCAGACGTTTACATGGCCCCCGCATTTATCATGACAGGCGAGCCGAGCCGGCCGGGGCAGCGCGGCGGCAGCGCCAAGTCGCCGGGAAAATTGTCTGCGCGCATTGGCCTGACGTTTATGATTGAAATGTCAGGCGGAGCCGGAGGCTGCCGGCGGCGCGCATAGCCGCGACTGCGAGCAGCGCCAGTCATAGGCCGCCATGGGCCACCATGGGCCGCCATGGGCCGCCATGGGCCGCCATGGGCCGCCATGGGCCGCCATGGGCCGCCATGGGCCGCCATGGGCCGCCATGGGCCGCGAGGCCATGGAGCATGAGGCACGGAGAAAAAGGGGGGGAGGCCCTCTAGACACTGATACATGGTGGTTACAGTTGTCCAACCCCTCAACACTCAAACACTCTAACGCACCAGGAACTCAAGTGTGTCAAGTGTCAATGTTGCACACCTGCTGTAGGTGTGTGAACGCCCATTCCCATATTCTTACCCTCAATGTGTGTGAATTTCAAAGAAAAATTCTTCATACCTTTACCACTTTAAGTGTACGAATGAATGGGCATTTACACGCCTGCAAAAGTGATACATTGACACACTGCTTGCGTTTCCAGTTTGTCTTCAACTTGCGAGTCCCGCACATAAATCCAGTGCATGAGATTGAGTGTTAAACGTTGATGTTCGAGAGTTGAACAACTTAATTCATCTGTGTGGACCCAGTGTGATGATGATTAGTCCATAAAAGGTGCCTTGCTCTATGTTCTTCAAGTTCTTCCACACATTTAATTCACACACAATTTCAACGCAAGCAGCAAGAACAAAAATAAAATCGTCCGCTGAAACAAAATTTTTAGGCCGTCTCAAATTTTGGTTCTAATACTTCTCTGTGCTCATTTTTTCAACAAAATGGAGGTCTTAAATTTTTTTAAAGTGTTTAATAACGATATGCAATCACTAGAGATCACCATGAGATTTCTAGTGACATGTTAGTGTGTGTAGTGTGTGTGTAGTGTGTGTGTTGTGTTGTGTGTATTGTGTGTGCGACTAGCTCCACAGCCACGACGTGAGTGCTCGTCCCCGCGCTGCTGAACGGTATCGGGGCCGCAGACCAGCCCGGCGCAGAAGGCGGAGCTGGCGGCCGCATTTCGATTACGGGTTCCATAATAACACAATCATATTCATGCCAGTATCGCGGGCAATTTATGTAAATCGCGGGTGGCCCGCCGGGGGTGGACGGGGAAAGGGGGAGGAGAAGGGGGGTTGGTCTGGCCGGAGCGTCTTTATCGGCGGGCACTGTATTGGCTGCCGGCCAGAGAGAGAGAGAGGGAGAGGGAGAGAGAGAGAGAGAGAGAGAGAGAGAGAGAGAGAAAGAGAGCCCCTTCCCACTCTGTCGCCACCCCCCAGCCCCAGCGTTATGCGAGCCTCCAAGAGCCCATCCGCAGGGTCCTAACCACCCCACTCTCGCCCCTCCCCCCTCCCTCTTCCTTCCAGCATCCTCCAGACGACGGCGACCCTGCGCCCTCCTTCTCTATTCTACTCTATAAACTGTCTTTGCTTCTCTCTCTCGCTCTCTCGCGCGCGCGGGGCCGGCCAGTTTCCGGCTCTATTGCATATAATTCTGGTTCCACCGTTTCTGCCACGTTTCCTACGGGTATAGTCCTCCTACTTCCAGGCCGACAGATCGCGGGAGCTCCCGTCAAGATCTGCCGCTCGTCGACTTGCAAAGGTAAATTGCTCCGCGGGTGCTCTCTCTCTCTCCCGTTCGAGCGGAGCAAGGAGCTTTTGCCTCACATGAGGTTGTCCGGGTCAGGGGTATGTCTTCGCAGCGTCGGGGCAGGGCGGGGCCGAGCGGGGCGGGGCGGGGCGGGGCGCGGCGGGGCCGTTGAGGTGTCGACGGGCGTATGCAAGCTGTTTACTTATTTATTCCGGCGCGCCATCCCCGCCGCCTCAAGTGGCGCGTTGGCTTTTCATATCCCCCTCTCTCCTTCTCTCTCTCTCTCTCTCTCTCTCTCTCTCTCTCTCTCTTGCTCGCTCCCTCTCCCTCTCCTCCGCCCCACCCAGAGCGATATGATGGCAGCGCCGGCCTCCCATTGGCCGGTGGGCGGGGCCATTCCGACGCTGTTCCGCGCGGGAGGGGAGGGGTGGGTGGGGGAGCGGAGGGCGGAGGGGGTTGGGGGTGTCTGGTAAGGATTGCGCAAGCCGCCCGCTTCTTGCAGAGCCGTGAGCGAGGCGGGGGTTGTGTGAGGGGAAGGGGGGGGGGGGGGGGGTAGTCGTCGCGGTGGTGGAGGAAGCGGACTACATGGGATTGCGGTGGCGTGGCGGGGCGCGGCGCTACGGTGCGGCTAATGTGCTCGTAATGACTATCCGGCCCGCGTTCATAGACTCATGAATGGAACAGACTGATTGCCCAGCCCCAACGCCCCGCCACGCCCCGCCACGCCCCGCCGGGTGGAAAGGAGGGGAGGGGGGGGGGGTAAGGCCTGACGATGAGTGTATTACGACGACACGACGACGGGCTCATGTCATCAGTGCAGAAGTAAGAGTCTTGCAGTGTGTGTTACAGCCTTTTGCTATTGTGTTTTACAGAATGCGGTGGGGCGAACAACGCCACCGAGAACACGGCGTCAGAGTGTAGTGGACGCCGTCGACATACGGAGGACGCCGTCGTCAATAATCAATCCCTAGGCGACGACGACGAAGAGAACATCGTCGACGCGCTGAGGAGGACCACGCGGAGGGAGGCCATCGTCGGAGAGGTTGTCGCAGACGAGATGGAGCGAAATACGCCGCTGTTAAAAGATCAGCGGTAAATTCTCAATCGTTTGTCTAGCACTTTATGCGACTGTTGGTGTTTTGGCACCTGTGTCTGCTCCTATGTCTTCTTTCGGCCGGGGCGGACCAGGGAGCTCGGCACAATGCATTTGTATTGATAGCAATCAAAGCAAACGACATAATAGCTTTCCGCTCGCGCGCACCCCAAGCCCGCCCCTCCCCGGCCCGCCAGCCTCCCCTCGGCTTCTACTCAGCGGCGCGGTGCTCTGGTCAGGTCGTGCCGCTGAAAGGAGTTTAGCAAGGCCGCTGATGTAATTTATCGTTCGCGTTTAATTTTTTCATAACGACCTCTGCTGGCTGCCTCGCGTTATTCATGGAGGAGCCCAAGTATGTAGTGGCGGTGGTGTGGGGGCCGGGCTCCGTCTCGCCTGCACGAGAACATTTCTTGGAGCGTAGGAACGTTTTATGGAACGGAAGTTCGTTCTTTGAACGTTTAGCACAGCAAAGAGTTTTCAATCTGGCACCAGTAAACTTGAACTGCGGATACAAAAGGCAGCTACTCCGCCCGTCTTCCCGCAGTTAGGCCGTACGCTAAGCACGTGTGCGGGTGGGTTGCCTACTCTCGGGCCGTAAGGCGCCATGGTCAGCGACACTACCAAGGAGGACGGGCCTAACCGACCAGCCACCTTTTCACCTGGTAAATACCGGACAAAGTCTAAACGGAGTTTGTTGTAAATCTCAAAAAGGCAAGAGGAGAACCCCAAGAAAGATTTAAAAGTAAAAGGAAGGGTTGTGGGGGTTTGACAAACAACTGGAGCACAGTGCGAAATGTTTCCCATCCACGTTATTCTGCGGGGTGTGTGTGTGTGTGTCGGCGGCGGTGGCGGCGGGGTTATGTGTCACGTGAACACGAATCCCCCCGGCGATGTCGACAGATTAGTTTAACAAGGGTAATTGTGCAGGATGAGGGGAGGGAGGGGGGAGGGGGAGGCAGTCAGGTGATGCCCCCCCACGTTCATATAAATAGGATGCACGCCGTATTGAAATGAGCAACAATAGAGATAGGGAGGCTATCGTGCCGCTGTCTCTTTCTCTCTCATACGACGCCAGTTAGTGCGCGAGCGTACTTGCAAAAGAAAAGAAGAGAGAAATTATTGATCTGGTCACCATGGCAATGTTTTTTGAGTCGAATAATCAGGGTAAAAAAATTTGAGGGAAGGAATTGAGTATCTTCAATACTAGAAAACCTATCTCTCTAATCATGAATCTGAAAGAACTCGTTACACTCTTCGCCTGAGTTTTATTGCATTTTAGACTTTATTTTTCTGTGTATGCGTGTTTGAGTTGCTGCCACTCACAATACCAAACCCTTTGATGAGCATTCACTCAAATGTCAATGTCAGAGTGTCGCTCAATTAAATAATGTATGCAAGGCGGTTAACCAGACGGAACTAAAAGTCAGTCGCATCCAGAAACGCGCTGTGGGAGGACAAATATAGGGGTGTCAGTTTTACTGTACAGCAAGCTGCGTGTACGTGGGTGTGTTGGGTTGCCTCGGGGCGATAAAGCGCAAGATGAAGCCCTTTCAGTACAGGATAGTTAGCATATCCTATAGTATTCAATTCCTCTGTGTTGAAACATCCCTATTTTTGTATTATTGTTGTGCGTTTTCGTAAAATATTTCTTTACGTCACGTAGCTTGAGTCATTAGGTTTAAAATGGTGTATAGAGATGAGAAGGTTATTACGAGCAGCAGATCAGCAAAATCCTCGAGAAAAATGAAGTTGCCATACGCTACATTAGGCAGCTATCTGGGCGAAATAAGTGTTGTGCTCGCAGTCAAATGCAGCCCCGGTGGCAACCCTTTGCCCTGAACATTAGCCCGCGGCTATTCTTCGCTTCTGTTATTAATAATATGGGTATATGGGCGCGTCCACGGGATACATGTCACACACACGCACACACGCACACAGGCACACAATGCTTTGCGACACCACGCGGGAAGGGTTGTCGTTTGGCGTGGACAGCGGGGGCAAGATTGGTGCAGGGTGTCCTGCCCACTAGTTGACGATCGTCAGCACGGCGCGTCCGCCGAAACAATTTATTCGCATTTTTTCGCAAAACTGGGGCACTTTTTTCGCGCAAATTTATCCCACCAGTAAATAATGGTGTCAAAAATAATGATAAAATATATACACAATGCTAGTTGTGTTTTCGCTCTTTTTAAAATTATTTTTTTTACTAATCCATATCGTTTTTTATACATTAAGACCGGTATTTAGGAAAATAATTTTGCTACGTCTCACTGAGTTTTTGCCCTTTTCTTCTCGACGCTTGCAGTGCAGACGTTACGCACAGCAGCGGTGGTCTTCCCCCCCCTCTCTCTCTCTCTCTCTCTCTCTCTCTCTCTCTCTCTCTCTCTCTCGCTCTCTCTCTCTCTCTCTCTCTCTCGCTCTCTCTCTCTCGCTCTGGTGGCAGGGCCCCCCGGCTGGCCGCGCCCATCACCATCGTATATCGCAAACTGAATTCCAATCCATCTTGCCGCAACAAAGTCGGGCGGCCGCGAAGCAACGACCGGAAGCGGATTGGCTCCGGTCTCGTTTTCCGAGCAAGTAGGTCCACGTCCCCTTTCTGCGCGCCGAAAGCTGTTCGCGGCGTTGTTCTGCTTCTCCTTCTCCGGCGAGGCGAGGCTGAACAGGCGGCGCGTAGGGCTCCAGCAGGCTCCAGCCGAGTCTCCAGCAGCGAGCGTGCCCAAAGGTAATGATGCTTCATCGATTGTCGCCATCATTAATCTTTCAAAAAATTTCGCGACTTGCGCGCGATCGGCGAGGCGAGCGACGCTGCGCTTGAATTGTAAAACCCCCGCTTATTGGCACGGTGCGCGAAACGTAAGAGTAGCCGGAGGCCGGGGGGACAAGAGAAAGAGTCGTGAGATCCCCTCTCAGGTGACCGAGGTGACCAGCCCCTTCCTCCCTCTCAAGGAGTCCTCATCCCCCCCCCCCTTTTCTCCTGGTTGTAAGGGGTGTAAGCGATAGAGCAGTCAACCAAACTGTTTGAAGTGTACTTTGGAAATCCAAGTGTACGAATATCCCATACACCTGCAGGCGAGGGGGAAAATTTTACGAATCCATACATCCGCTCACCTTTAAGTTTGTGAATAATGTGTCGCATATGTGCAGGTGTGTGAATTTTTTTTACTCACCTGTATAGTGAGTGACATTTTTAATGCCCGTGGAAATATTCTCGTAAGGGTGGTGAACAAAGCTGGTTCTTGGCTAGGACATTAATCGTTAGTAAGCACGCTTGACTCGTTGAAGTTTTGCAGTCTCTCATTCACAACATACTGCAATATAAAAGGAGATGGGTCTTTCTGCGAACGCACTTTTTCATTTGTTCTTCTGTCTTGCAACACACCACCATTATTGCAGTTTTTTTTTTATTGTTGTCTTTATTTACATAAATCACAGCCTTTGATGTGTGTGTGAAGCCTAATACTTTTGCCGCCATCAATACTGCCCACGCACACACCAAAGCCAACCGCCCGGCAGACCACGCCTGCCTGTAGGGACCTTGTCATGATATCGAGAGAGAGAGAGAGAGAGAGAGAGGAGAGAGAGAGATCACGATGCGCCAACACAGGCCGCACCGCACCTATATCCCTTCATCCCAAAACCACATCGCGAGCCAAATAATAAAATAATATAAAAAAATCGCTCGAAGAACAAAAAAGTGGGAAAATAAAATAATAAAAAAAATTGTGCCATCGCCCGGTACGGCACACGGTGGGGACCATTTATCAGGAGCGCGTACAATGCTGGGCGTGGTGCAGCGGAGGGACTAAATCACGGCATTCGACCCAAAAACGAACGCTGCCCGCCGATAATCGTGCCAAGATGGATTTTATTAAGTAATTCCGAAGGGAAAATGATGATAATAATAAAGAGTCGAACCCCCCCGATGGCCGAGACAGAATAAGGGGAGGGACCATCTCTCTCTCTTTTTTATCAATTTTTTCTTTTTTATAAATAAGTTATTTCTTCTCTCGCCGCGTGACCCAAAAGGCCACCACCTGGCGCACCGAAATGTGCGACTCTCTCTTTATCTCTCTCTTGCCCTTTTATTGGGGTGAAAACTGCGGGTGGAAAAGGCGGCGGTGGTAATCTGCACCACTCACCGCCCTCAGTACATTTCTCTCTCTCTCTCTCTCTCTCTCTCTCTCTCTCTCTCTCTCTGTCCCACACACACGCACGCACGCGCGCACACACAAATGGTCCGGTGGTGTGGTGTGGTGCGCCCGTTTTAGGATGCCGATCCGGTTTTCTCCCCCTTTTTTTCATTATTTTTATTCGCGTTGGCGGCCCTGGGACTGACAGCGCCGTGCGCGCGCGCTTTGTTCGCGTCGTCTGCTGGCGCCTGCCCGGCCCGCCCCGCGCGAGCGCTCGCCTCGATATCTCGAATGTCACGGCCCCCCACTAAAACCTCGCCGTCCGGAAGAGATTCGCGCGGCGCGTTATGGGATCAGCCAGCATAGGCTCTCTGCGGCCGGATGTAAATGGACGTGGCACGCGGCGCGGGGCCATTCTCTCAGGGATGGCTGAGGCGCGCGGCGACGGGCGGAAAACAGAAACGGCTAGGGATGAGAAATTGTGCTCCGCTGGACCAAACGTAGGCCGGAAGAAGGACTACGCGCGCGCGCGAGCGCTTGTGTGTGTGTGTGTGTGTGTGTGTGTGTGTGTGTGTGTGTGTGTGTGTGTGATATGAATCAAAGCACTCGACACTGCCTCAGTCTCACCCGTAAACACACACCATATATACGTATATACGTGACTGTGATGACCTCCTTCTCCGCCCGTTTGAAACACTCTCTCTCTCTCACCCCTATCCCTTCTCTTTACTCTAAAGTAATCCCAGAGGAGAGGTATTCGAATATAAAAAAAATAATAGGAAAGGTAGGTGGAGGGGGGGGGAGATGATGCTCTGGTACAAATCCGCTCGATAAACAGTATTTCGTCTGCGACCTTGTCGTATAAAAGGGGGGCGAGCGTGCCGGCCCGCAGTGAGGTGTATGGCTCGTCGTCCCGGAAGGTTAGTCGCGTTGTTTATTTTATTTTTCAAACGTCGCGGGTCACAGGGACGGTTTGTGCGTCCGTGTAGAGTAGTTGAGTTCATTTTTCAGAAATTCCGTACAGTTCTTGTTTAAAACCCCGGTGCTGGAGAATCGTGTGCGTGCGTGTGTGTACGACGCAAAACTTACAACATCTTCTTCGCGCTAAACCAAATGGGCACTTGCCTCTATAGTGTGCCTTTACACGGAAAAATCCGCCTCCTACGAAACGGCGATTATCTTTTCAAAAATATCATGAAAGATAGCGCATGGTCATCGCCGCAGTCCCGCGGGTGGTCGCGAGGAGGGGTGTGTCCCGCTCACGCCTCGGGCAGGCCAAGGAGGCGGGCCCGCCCCGCCCCGCCCCGCCCCCTGGGGGTGCAGCAGTATAGGACGATTCTGTTTATACAAGCCTGGCCACTCTGTTATTACAAACTATTAAAAGCTTCGCTAAAAAAACTTTTTGTTGTTGTTGCTGGTGATGGTGGTTGCGGGGTGTGGGGAGGGGAGGGAGGTGCGCGCACATACAGCAGGGGTGAATGCAAAGCCCCCCGGATAAAGAGGAGGAGAGGTAAGGGTTGCGCTGTCGAACACATGCTGGCGGCTGATCCTGCCGCCCCGCCCCGCCCCGCCCCGAGGGCAGAAGTGAGCCGCCGTCCTGGCCGCGGAAAGGCCAGCACTGAATGCCAGATCAGTTTTATTGTTCCGAGTGTGCCCGTGACGCCACCCGCCCGCGGCGCGGGGGCCCGCGACCGATCTTGGCGGCTCATTTGGCAGCCCTTAAAACGGCCGATTAGTGTTTATTCTGGCCAACTGTTGCGTTTTACTCTTCTTGGCATCTCAGCACACTATGATCGCTCTGGAAACCCAAGTGTGTACATGTATGCGTTATTTACTGAATACCTACATGTATGCAGCAAATACTGCGTACATGATCATGTATGCAGCAAATAGTGTGTACATGACCATGTATGCAGCAAATACTGCAGTATTTGCTGCATACATGGCCATGTACACACGTAGAGCTCTATGCTAAAAGCTATGTGACGAAGTGTGTACCTGGCCATGTATGCAGTATTTGCTGCATACATGGTCATGTACACACTATTTGCTGCATACATGATCATGTACGCAGTATTTGCTGCTTACATGTACGTATTCAGTAAAAAACGCATACATGTACACACTTGGGTTTCCAGAGCGAGTGTGTGCGACTAAAGAGGAAGCGCGAAAGAAATACACTGCGGGCTGCACTCAAAGAGACAGGCACATTTCACGTATTTAATTCCCCCTTCGTCAATGCCCTCTTTTCTGCCCCCCTCCTCCAAATTTTGTCTATTTGCTCCCCCCCCCCCTCCCCTACGCAAACTCTCTGCGCCCTCTGGTGTGCAGCCTATATACGGAGCTACAGTTTCGCGATGACTCGGACCCGAAACCAGATATCGCCCAAATAAACACATTTAGCGTGTTGGTCGGTCGGGGAGCAATGGGCAGAGGGGCGCTCTCCTCGCTATCAGTACGGCGTGACGTAACAACAAGGATTGTGGACCACTTAAACACACCAGCATCGCGATCGCAATTGCGTCTTTTTTGGTAAAATTTGCCTAGATGGTATGTATAGCCTTTGTTCGCCGTTGTTTTCTCTTTTGTTGCTTTGATGGGTTTTTTTTTGTTTTTGTTTACAAAAAATGTCTGTTAAAATTAGCTTGTTCTTCTGTCTTATCACTTACTCACTCACTCACTCACTAACTCACTCACTCACTCACTCACTCACTCACTCACTCACTCACACACACACACACACACACACACACACACACACACACACAACGCCAAGGCCAAGACGAGAGGCAACCGGGCGTGAGAAATAACCTATGATGACGGCATATTGCTCAAGGCAGATTTATGCTCATTTTTTTTTCTTTATTATTTTTTTTCTTTTGCCACTTTCATTTCGAAGGCGCCCTGCGGCAAACGACTTGGTCGTTTCGAGTATCGCGGAATATACGCGCGGGCCGCCGCCGCATGGAGCCCCGTTGGCGGTGAAGACGTCATTTCTCACATTCGATTGTCGACGTCGCCCTGATCGTCACGATTGGATTTTTTTCTTGCGCTCTTTTGCGTTCTCAGTTTTGCGTCCTTATCACCACCATCATCAATCCGGCTGCTTTCATGTTTTACTGTCATTATAATTTATCAATTTTTTTTTCCTGTGTAGATCGCGCTCTCCGCGTGTGAGCCGCGCGGTGGTCTGCTTGGGTAATGACTCGGCGGGACTCCCCGTGACTGCAGTGATGGGCCTGGCCACCCATCCGTCCATCCATCAACGAGACGGAACAGTGAACAGTGTGGTATTTTCACGGTTTTCAGCTCGATTTCTAACGACTAAAACGCGGGTGCCGGCCGTGCGATTTGGTTGAACTTCTTTTCTTGATGCCCCCCCCCCCCTCCTATCTATTCCTTCCCCGAGGGGGTAATCACTACGTGAAAATGCGTACACCTCAACTTTTCACTTTTCCACTTTCCTTTAATTTTTCACCGTTTTACAACGTTTTCTTCATTTCTATGCCTATATCCCCTCTATTTTATTCATTTTTGATCTAATCAACACACGATTAGTCACGTATGTCCACATTTTCTTTCAGCTTTTGCCACTTTCAGTCAACTTTTTGTCACTTTCACTTTAACTTTTATTGAAATGTGTACACCTACTTTCTGTAATGATTACCCCCTCGTCCTTCCCGGTGGGTGAGGAGAGGTGTGCGACACACTACAACATCCCACCCAGCGAACGGGACTCTTACAGTACAGTAGATGCTTTTATGAGAACGGAAAAAAAAACAAAAGAAATCTGTATTACTTGTTGATGTTCTTGATGCTGCTTCAAACAGTTATTCGACGCGTCAAAAAATGCACGCCGAAAGATAGAAAGGAAGAAGATAGTGTTGTCTCAGCTGCTGAGCGTTGGAGCAGCTTCAACGAAACCCCCCGCATAATTCGCGCGTACTAACAGATAGCAAA